TAATAATAAAAATTTTTTTTATTATTATTATTATTATTATAAATTTCCGCTATTTTTTTTACAAACAATCGTAATATCTAAAAGTAACACTGCGATAAAACATAACTTTATAAATTTATTAATATATAATAAATCTTGAGTTTATCAAGATTTTCCGTAATATTCTTCTTGTTTGAATTTTTTCGACAGATTATTACTCAAGAATACAATTTCTTGATTTTTTGAACACAACTGACCTCTCTGCTGACTGGTGATCTGTTGCCGCGTTATTTGTCTTTCTGTCCGTTGTTGAATGTACTGTTGCTGTTGTTCCTGCATAACAGCTTGTTGTTGTTGTTGCTGTTGATGCTTCTGTTGTTCTTGAAACTGTTGTCGCTTCATTTTGGGTTGGAAAGTTCAATAAAATCGTGAGTCATTCAGATATGACACGGTTGTGATCAAGTAGACTTGATAGTAGTTATAAACTGCTAATTAATCTAGGAAATCTAGAAAGATCTCCGTTTTTATCTTTCTTTCAGTATTATGTTTTATCACCCGAGATTTAACAAACAAACTCTTGATGCACAATGACGAATTGGAGCAGATCACTCGCACTTATCTCGCTTTACTATGTAATGCACGCAGTTTTGCTGGTAACCGCGGCTCTAGTCTAGTCAGTCGGCAGAAATCAAGTCATCGTCAAAAGTCTCGTCCCCGTGATTCTTTAAACCAAGACGTCGGTCGAATGCGAATTGGACGGGTTACGACTTGATGCTCAGCTAAAGCATAAGAAGATAGAGAGGGTGTCGCATGGTAGGGTGGGGACGTTGAAACGCCTCGATGTTCAACGCGTACAGAAATTGAGTTTAGAAGGAACAAGTCTTCAGCGTGCATGAATAAGCTCGATACATTTAAAAAATTTTGTTATCATTTTTTACATTTCATGTGCAAGAATGAGAATGAGATAAAGATATCGATATGTGTTTTGTATATATAATAATATATGATAACCACGCTGCGCCATATCCTTTTTGCTTGTTATTTTCTATTTCAAAAATTTCCATACGTTTCTTTATTTATTGATAACAATTTATTGTACATTGATGAAACAATATCCTTTATCTCATACTGGAGAAATGTAAAATATAAAACGGCAAACTTGCTTCAGAAATTTTATAGATAAAGTCAATTTGGAGATTTTGTCGAGCAGAACGATAAAGCAACGGTGGTCTCACGTAGGGTTCTTGTGCTCACTGATAACCACCCACGCATCTCCACGTTATTGCTCTCTCTCTCTCTCTCTCTCTCTCTCCTCTCTCCTCCTACGTCCCTCC